CGGGGAACTCTGCAAAAAACGCATCTTCGCACGGGCAGCCCGTGCGTTGGCCAATTTTTTACAAATTGCATACACAATGTTCGTTTATTCGTTTCGATGCTAAACTGCTACTAGCATACTACCAGAAAATCAAGCCGCCCAACATCTGCTGGCCTATAAGTAATCTTTGAAAGAGAAAACCATCTACATCGGATAACTACTGACGGCGTTTGCACCTTTATCTTTTGGAGGAAACGAATACGGAAAGGGTTTTGACTTTGACTTACTTTTTGCAATACAGTTAGTAAAAATTGCTTCTGAAACGACCATCTTATAATTTGTATTTGAAAAATTGCCCTTTTGAACCTGTTACAGTTACGAGGTGTTAATTGTTGATTTTGTTCTCGAATGGCAATTTTTTCACTTCTGCCTGCGTGCTGCATTCGGCATGTGCCTGTAGCTAATGGATGAAACACAAAGATATCTTTTTGCACATGATTCCTAGACTGATCCCTTATCTCCTAATCTATTATTTCTTGTAGACTTTCTTTACCACTTTGCGTTGAGCATGCATACTTTTCCCTCCTATAAACGCACAATAAACAGATATCCTTGTGACACTATTCAAGAATCAAACAAACTGGATGGTCGCAAAAGTTACAAAAAAAAAAAAAAACTTCATCGCCAAAGAAAACACCAGGCCAACGTAACATTGAATACGCCAACAAGAAATGAAAAAAACGCCAAGAGAAGTGCAACAATGCAGAGGTAAAAGCTGAAGCCCAATCTGATCTTTACAGTTGAAACATCGAAACTTTTGTAGTCAGTGGTCAGCAAAAATTTTCGTAATAAACCTGAAAATTTACATAAACGCAGTTAGTACCGATTGACATTTCCAATAAGGGGAAAAAACATCGTCCCTTTCAAAACTTAGGAGTATCTAGTCCTAGTGTAATTAATAATAAGAAGGAAAGAAAGTGTTCGCAAGATATTTCTGGAGTACTAGAACAGGTGGTGTAGTAATTTAGCACGTAGTGTCTAAATGTAAATAAAAATCGAGAAATCCGACTCCCCCTCTAGTCTCTACTCATTGGCAAAATCGGCTCCGTACACAGTAGTACCTTCGATTTCGGAGTAACGTTGAGCGTACGTAACTGTGGTGTAGAGGAGTAGTATTGTGATGCATAACGCAAAACCACTGAACGGTGCTGTCAAATATTCGTAACGTTCACAGCAGAACTCGCGAGGCAGAAACAAATACAGTATGGCGAACAGTTCGATGATCAGTGATACGATCAATGCGTACACCACCGATACATCCCATTTCGGTCTGTTCTGAATTCACATCTCTTTCGAATTTAAGGTAAATGCCTTTTGAAGAGGCATCCGGATGCTGCAAGCAGTGCTTCTAGATATTACTACATTGAACAGGCCAGGGCTGACACAACAGGAAGGCCTGGTACTACTCACTGGACCTATTTTTATGCAGATACTCATGCACAGTTGAATCA